ATACCTCTACTCCAAACCACAACACACAAAAGGTGCAAGAGAACAAAAGGGACTGCCCTGCAACAGAGGCGGGGTGGGGTGGGAGGAGTATGGGGGGGTTGGGGGGAGGGATACTGGGATCATTGGTGGTGGAGAATGGGCATTGGTGGAGGGATGGGTACTTGATCATTGTGTGATTGGAACGCAACCACAAAAGTTTATAACTCTGTAATTGTACCGCACAGTGATTCATGGAATATGAATATTTTAATTCATGGAATATTAATTATTTAATAAATTAAAAAATAGACTGTGCAGAAGGTATGGTGCTGCCAGCAGGTCAACCTGTACCTGTTAACCTGCTGTGCATCAGTGCAGGGCAAGTGCATCATCAGCCTGATGGTGCCTTCAGGCTGCCTGACACCCCAAAACTGCCACTGTGCCTTTGGCCAGACCCCAACAACTTGGGACCAAGCTTACCAAGAAAGTAAATTGCCGAAAGTTAGGTATATGGGAGCCACACCCACAAACCACCTCTCGCTCAGCTATACAAGCTCATTTATTGGCCCTACCTTAGAGACCCATAGATAAATCTTGAAAGAGATCGAAATCCACAGTTAATCTTAGATCCACATGTGCCTGAGCAGACTTGGGTAAATCAAAGGAGGGCAGGTTGGCCTGGTGGGCCACCCAAGCAAAGCCCCCAACAGCCACTTACTTCCACAATCCAAAACCGTGGTCCTCCTCTACCTCAGAATGGACCTCACCAAGATATAATCTGCTGAAGAGGTATGAGGGTTTTGTGACTGAAATCTCCAGGCTTTCCCAGAGCTCAGGTGGGCTACCTTCCCCCATTTCCCAATATTTATGGAAGCACTGGCAGTCACCCCTATGAACCAACTCCAGCATCACCCTGAAAGCTCTACTACTGGCCTTGCTTCAGAGACCCATAAATTAATCTCAAAAGAGATCAAAAGCTGCAGTTAAGCTTGGACCTGTGCTTGGCTGAAGAGACTGGGGTAAATCGGAGGGGTATGGGTTGGCCTGTGCTCACTCAAGCAGAGCCCCCGGCAGCCACTCACTTCCACAATTCAAAATTGCTACCATATACTTGGCCTGACTCCACTGTATCAGGACGAACCTCACCAAGATATAATCTGCTGAAAATTTTGGTATGCAGGTTTTGTGATTGAAATCTCCAGGCTTTCTTGGGAGCAGGATGGGCTACTCCCCCCATCTCCCTGTACTTCTAGAAGACTTGACAGTAGCATCCATACCCCAAAGCGGCCACCCAATTGAAAAGCTACTTCAACCTTACTATCCCGATAAAAATACCAAATGCCCTGAACAAACACCATGACCTTTTATACCTGTATTGAAAACCATAATGTATAAAAGGAAAAGGGGAGAGAGAGAGAGAGAGAGAGAGAGAGAGAGAGAGAGAGAGAGAGAGAGAGAGAGAATGAAAGTACCTCCCATAGAGGGAGGCTGAGGGTAGGGGTTGTGGGGCTGGGGGATGGTGGTAGGGAAACAGGGAACATTGGTGGTGGGAAATGTACACTGGTGAAGGGATGGATGCTGGATTATTGTGTTACTGAAACCCAATTATGAACAGTTTTGTCATGATCTATCTCACTAATATCCAATTTAAAAAATTTTTAAAAAAAAGTAATGTGGAGTTCATGGCCAGTTCAATCATCTTAATCAATGGCTGAATAAATAGCAGTATTCCTACATTAAAATAAAAATAGACCGTGCAAAGGGAAAATAAAGTATGTAAGAGCAGAATAAAACCATAAAATTAAGTTCAGAACTCTTTTTTTAAAAAGTAAACTAAAAAACAAAAGTAAATTAGAGGGAGAAAATCAGACCTGTCGACCTCCCAATGTGATCAAAAAAGAAAAGAAAAGAAAGAAAGAAAGAAAGAAAGAAAGAAAGAAAGAAAGAAAGAAATTTAGGTGAAAAGACAATACTTGGGTCCATATGTTTTGTTTTGTTTTGTTTTTTTAAATTCCAGCTAAATCTCCTGAACCTTCTGGTTATTAGCAATTTCATTTTAATTTGTGGATCTTACTTAATTGTCCTCGCTTGTTAAAGTAAGACATTTTGAAATGTGTCTGTTCTCTTTCTACTCTTCTTCCTTTCCCTCCCAGTGGGGTAGCTCTCTAAGAGATTTGGTTGTATCATAGTTGTGTTAATAATTATGGTGATGATAAAGGGAGCAGGATGGTGGTCTCTCCAGAATGCAATTTATTCTGCATACTGCAGGCCTGTGAAGCTGCTCAGCAAGTACCACTTCATTTCAGCCTTCTGCTTTTACTTCAGCAGTATCCATCCACACAAACTTTCCTATGTGAAACAGTAAGAACATAGAAGAGGAAAAAGCAACCAATATAAAAAGAGGGGTGGGAGGAAAGACCTGAGAGTAGTATGGATATTAAAACTAGATCTTCACAACATAACTCTAAATATGAGCTTGTGGACAGCTGAATGTATTTACATCATTTTACTAACTTGGCCTCTGTTATTTATTAATTTCAGCTGCCATATTATATTATAGCAGCAAGATGAATAAAATTAGGTTCCTGGCAGTTCTTGCTTGAGAGATGCATATTAAACCATTTTGAATAGGCATCAGAGAGATTCACAGAACTCTAAGTAAAGGGCCACTTGAAAAATACACAGAGACAATTAACTGTTCTGTGTCCCACAGCCCTGAATGGAGAGAGGTTGCACGGGGATGCACAAAAGAGAAGCAATAACTGAGCAGATGCCTGAGATGGAAGGTGTGAAAGGTGGAAAATACTAGATGATGTAGAGAAGGAGCAGCCAAGAATAAAGGAAAACCATATAAATCTGTGGAAAATAAAAAGAGAACTAATAGGACAGGGGAGGGAAAAGGGAAGAGGGTGAGGAGAAGGGGAAGAGAGAAAAGGAAGGAAAGAGAAATATAATTGAGAAAAAAATATAGAATTTGACATAAGGGAAAAACAGAGAAATTTCAAGATGGCAAGAAATAGAAAAGCAAGAGCAAGGTGACATTCAACACAGCGTCGTAAATTGGGACAAACGTTTTTATACATCTGTGTCTTTAGTTCAGGGGAAAAAGCAGTCTTAGATGGAGGATAATAACTTCCAGGAGACTAGTAGCCTTACCGCTTATATTTACTGAATATGCACAGAAAATTAGGTGCCCTAATATCAGAACTGCTGTCTATATGTAAAACCATAATCCCAGCATGTGTCCACAGACGCTGTTGCTTTGGCCTAACAGTTCTGCTCCCTTTCTGGCTGTCTGCTGAGCTGGAGACCATCAAGGTGGTAACAACAGTTACTCCTCATGGAAGCTCAGACTTTGGGGTGGGGGTAGGGGGACAGAAGTGGGGTAGGGGAATAGAGTGGGATTATCTCGTTTGACACCTAAACAACAAAGAGGGGTTTGACTGGGTGAACATCAGAATAAAAAGTGGGAAGGAAGGGGGAGGAATGAGTGTATTTTAAATATGATGGACATGACATTGGAAAATGAGGCACTTAGAATAAAGCAAGGTATCATTTATAATACCAGTGATCCCATAAAGTGTATCTTTAACAAATTATATCCTCTGGCGCTCTATCTGTCTCTGTCTCTGTCTCTGTCTCTGATTCTCTCTCTCTCTCTCTCTCTCTCTCTCTCTCTCTCTCTCTCTCTCTCTCTCTCTCTCTCGCTTTCTCATCCCCTTGCACTCTTCTGGCCACACCCAGAGTGCTCAGAGCTCCTGGTGCTGCATTCAGGGTCACTCTTGGCCATGCTCAGGGGAACATATGGGTGCTGGGGTTTGAGCATGAGTCAGTTGTGTACAGCGTGTGCCCTACACAACTGTACTACTGCTCACGTCATGACTCTGGCTTTTTTGTTCAAACATATTCTCTGTTTTTATGGCAAATACCTTGCTTATTTTCTTCCCTGGAAAATATTTAGTCCAGTTTTAAAAACTAATTGGTCCTGTGTTCTTTTCTTACCTAGATCCCTGCTTGTTTTGAAAGGCTTCTTTCTTGCTCACAATAAGCATATCAATGTCTCCTAATTTTTTCTTAACCTAGTCTCCTCTTTTAAACTGCTGTATGGCTTCTCCCGCTGCATGGTTACTAATCCAGATTCATACATTGATTATAAGCAAAGCCCTATTTCATTCATGACTGGATTCCCCATACCTGGTACTTGGTAGTGCTATTTCAATGTTCATTTTAATTAAAATGATCAGAGGGAATCTCATACTTTCTTATTCTCATAATTCTACAGTTTCCCCCACTCTTTACAGCCTCTTCCCAATATAACCCTCCCTTCATCCAAAATCTCTTTATAATGATCTAGAAATATTATTCTAACTTTTTCTGGATCAAAGTGGTCACTGTTTTAATATCAAACCTGACACTAATTTATCAAAGAAAGTTTTAGGATAAGTATATTATCAAATTATTCTGCCTCCCATGTCCCCCAAAGTTCAATTAGCAAAAACAAAGATACAAAGTATCAAGACCTCTTAACTATATTAAATTATGAGTATAAAAACATTAAAAAGAAATAGCCTTGTATATTCTAACTCTAATCCTAAAATTAAAATTCATACTAAACACTTGGGGAAAGACTCAAGTTTAAGCAAAAGTTCTATTTCTTTTGCTCAGGATTCACTAGTCTTACAAGATGGGAAACTGGAAAACAATCTCAATGCAATGGTATTTGGAGAATAGCCAGATATTTCCAGATTAAATCCCTTGAATTTTTACAACAGACTTTTAGAAAGAGTTTATTTTAAAGTTTAAAGATTACTGGTGATTTGAAAACCAAATGAATTATTTTATATACTCATTGGACATTCTTTCTATGTAACTCTATGATAGTAATTTCAGGAACTTCTAATGTGAATAATCCAAGTAATCAGGTACCTATATTGGGTTGATCATTTCCTTTTTGCAACTGGATACCTGAATTCCTTGTTTCCATGTGGAATTGAGAGCCCGAGGTGAATAAATACACTCACTTCAACCATGTGTAGATGTTCCAAGAAGCCATCCAATCGCATAAAGACCAAAGTCGACTGGAAATCCCACTCCCTGACTTTCTGGTTCTCTTTGAAATAACTATGGAGATTCTCTCTTCTATCTTGAAACACATGCTTGAAGAAGTTCAATGTATCCATAACCACATGTAGTTTTTTCTGACTCTCTTCTACTTCACTGCTCAGAAGGTCTTCTGGGCCAAGATAATTAGATGCCTAGAAAGCAAACCAATTATCATCTTTGAATCTGGTTGTGATCGTAGGGCATTATCTACTTTTCCAACATGATCACTGAATTTAATACACAGTTAATATCACCTTAAAGACAATGCAGTAAAAATGTGTTCCAAATCTCAGTTCTAGAGAGGGACTGGACCTGGGCTTAAGTACTCAGTGACTGTCTCAGGGTTGAACAAGTGACCAAACAGAAATCATGACACATTGTGAGATTTCTGTTGAGCTAGCTGACCCAACATATGGAGGCAGATATTCTGTTTTGACCATTGGCATTCTATATATATGTATTTTTCTTGGGGAGGTCACACCCAGAGACGCTCAGCGGTTGCTCCTTGCTCTGCACTCAGGAATTACTTTTGGCAGTGCTTGGGAGACCATATGGGATGCCAGCGATCAAACTCAGGTAGCCACATGCAAGGTAAATGCCCTACCAACTGTACTATCGCTCCAGCCCCTGGACCTCTATTGTACAATAATATGAATGCAATAATCTTTTTGAGCCATGACCATTTCCCTGCCTTCAAGAGTCTTAAATTTAGAGATATGTGAAACTGAAGCGATTGAACAACCATATTTACCACTACAGACAGGGACAGAAATAACTGGGTCCTGATGACAAAATCTGAGGTGAAAGTGAGAGCTGTGGCCAATCTTTTCTTGAAATTTGGATTTATAAAAGTCAAATAGTCTTTATGGTTTTGGGTGAATTTTTTGCTTTTGCTGAATTTTCTTACGCATTGAATTTCTTTTGACTCTATGCCCTATTAGAAGAGGAGACAACCTGGCTTCCAGTCCTAAATTTTCAGCCTTTGGTGACTCAGCTTTCCTGAGTCTTTGACAAACAAGAGTAAGGCCCTCCCGTTGATCGTCGATTTGCTAGAGTAATAAAAATGAATATTTATATCACACCCCTGTCTTACAAGAAGGGTTCATCTGATATTGATCAGCATCATAAATATCACAACAGTAATTTGGAGTCTTTAATGTGTTCAGTATTATTACTAGTTACTGTTAAATTGGTTCATTGTTTTATAAGAAAATTTGTTCACTGTTTTATAGCTCTGTAGAAGTCACCTTAGAGGGAAGCGCATTCAAATCTCATTAAGTTCTCTAATTCTGTTCAGGACTCACTCCTTGAGGTTGTTTCCCTGCTTATTGTTGCTATAACAATTTCCTGACAGAATGGGGGGTATGACCTCTTGCATGCACGAGACCAAAGATTCAACCCCCACAGCACAGTGGAAAAAATCTCATAAGGTAAAGAAACAATTCAAGTGTCTGCTTTTATTTGTGACTCATAGACATGTGTAGATCACAATGTAAATCTTGACCCACAAAATTGCACTGGAGCCTCACAATTACCCAGCTAAAATTTTGTCAGTCCCTTTATTGGAGATCAAGAGTTTCCAGGTACACACAACTGAGAAATAGTGAAGCAAGATTTAACACAGGAATTACTAACTCTAGAGACAGCATTTTTTTTCTTTTTGGGTCACACCCGGCGATGCCCAGGAGTTACTCCTGGCTTTGCATTCAGGAATTACTCCTGGCTGTGCTCAGGGGACCATATGGGATGCTGGAAATCAAACACGGGTCAGCCGCATGCAAGGCAAATGACCTATCCACTGTGCTATCACTCCAGCCCTAGAGACAGAATTTTTGAGTTCTAGTCTCTGCTGCTGACTAACACAAATCTATTTACATATTGTGAGATTTTGTTGAGCCAGCTGACCCAACATATAAGGCATATATTCTGCTTTGACAATTGACTTAGTATTGTAAAACAGTTTGAATGCAACAATTTTTTTGAGTTATGAAGGAGTCTTGAAGACTTTTGCCTTCAAGAATATTAAATCTAAAAATCTGTGAAAAAAGAAGTTATTGAGCAACTGCATTCATCATCACAGGGAGGACAGAATTAACTGGGTCCTGGTGGCATCGTCTGAGGAGGCCAAAATTTAACTGTCCCACTTTCATATGACACAATGTTTTCAGAGAGGAAGAGAGACTAGATTATCTAATATTCCAGTATTACTGAAAACATTTTTGTGTTCTTGTATGTTAGAGTAAAGTAATGCAAGTGTGAGTTACCTTTGGATCATAATTATTTTCCTGCACAGGGGGGAAAAAAACGCATACTTTACTTTCTCCTGTGGCTTGATGTCAACCGCCCCCAGATGAAAGCCCCCAGGGACAGGTAGGGGGATCTTGTGGTGGCAGACCTGCTGGATGAGGAGGTTGCAGATCTCCTGGAGCAGCACAGTCAGCCGGCCTGGGGAGCAGTAGGACTTGCACGTGGCCCAGATCAGACAGACAACATGGAGCAGAGGCCATAGCCCAGACTTCACCTCTGGGAATTCCACGCCCTCCAGGGTTTCCAGGTGCCGCTGCAGTGGCATTAAATGGATGTGGATGTCCTGAGCCTCTGTCAAAGCTGAAAGAAATTGGACATCACCTTCACTTGCCTAAAAATTTACTAAGTATCCTTAATAACTGAAAATAAAAGGAGCTTCACACCAACAGTAAGGCTTTATTTCCAAAATGGAAGAATAGAGTTCCCTCAAAACTCTTTCGCTTTTATGATAGAATATTTTATGATGCAATTATATTCTGGATATGCAAATGTAGAATATTGCTATATTTAATTCTGCAGCACCCTGGGCAAATAGGATAATGGTAAGAGAACTCTCTCTTGCAGCATTCATATATCTGAAATTCTTTCTGGCGTTCCCAGCCCCATTTGGTGCTCCCAAAATAGAAGATATTGGATAAATATTTGTGGATTCAAATATATGACAAAAGATAACTTTTAGAGTCAGAATAATCTGTTTTCAAGTAACAACTCAGACACCAGATAATCTTAGACGTATTTAACCTTTCTAAATCTAAAAATTAGTCAGAATAGCAATTAATTCAAATGGTTCCTGTGAAGACTGAACATAGCAGAATCAGAATCTTCAGACTCAGCACTGAACCAAAGAAGTCATTCTAAAAATGAAATGACTCATAAAAATTTGCCAATAAAGAATCTCATTGAGTTCTTTATTGGCAGGAGGAAAGTCACTGGGACTAAAGAAATAGCATGAACCGATTATGCAAATTTCTGCTGGCATATTCCTGTGAATTGACCTTTCTCAGTTGAATAAAAGAAGGATTACTCTGTGATTATTATGTTGAATGAATGACCTAATGGTTGTGGGGCTCACTACATACAACAATTTGTGATACATATAAACTTGTGATAGCATATGTAATCTATATTCCCAATGGAACTGTAGAAAGTAGAAAATAGACTCAAACTGTAGGAATTAGAAAATAACTCACATAAGAAAGTTGCACTAAGTTGATTAGATCAGCGATTCTTAAATGAAGGGACCTTACATTCCAGTCATATCCATACTTCCTTTATGATATTATATATCTATATAATACCTTTATATTAATTTTCTATTAAATTTAATATAAATAATTAAATATGAAAACTTTAAACCATTATTTTACATAAGTAGAAAACATTTACTATTCCCCAAAACTATAATTGTTTAACATGTTCTACTTGTAACTATCAATATATCTTCCACACTAATTTCTCAGACCTTTAGTGTATATCGAGTATTTGGGGAGACACCTGAACCACTTTGAGTATAAATTGGGGGTAAAGTTGATTCCTTTGGAAAACAAAATCTCTTAGCTAAGCAATAAACTAAAATATCACAAAGGACATCCTCTCAAATCAACTTTCTCTGTTGGTAGAATAGCTTCTGTGGTAAATTTTAGGTCCCAGGAAGAATTTAAATGCTAACTGGTTAAGCCAATTATTGTCTGTTATTGAATGCATGGCAGAAACTCCACTGCCTAGAACTTTTCAGTGAGAGGAGATAAGGAGATCACTTGATCACTTGACATACCATTACTAATCAATTTGCTCAAGAAGGCACCAAAACGTCTCCATTCATCTCTGTCATGTGCTAGTGTAGTCCAATGGTGTCTGCTCGTTCTAGGAACACGAAGAGTCTCAAACCAATCATTCGGGGTCTTGATGAAGAAGTCTGACAAACTCATAGGTGGGTGGCCATAAGATATTTTGATGTCCCGTGGAATCCAGTTGGTAATGGCTCTCGTCCAGCAGTAATCTCCAAATCTCATTACATGTCCAGCACATCTGATTTTTGATGCCTTGGCAAATGAGATGGCGTCCCTGATTCTTGATCGTCAACAGAGGTCAGAACTCCAGATTCTTTCTCTCATTTGAGTGAAGCGTGATACTCCAAGCATAGCTCTTTCAATATCTCTTTGGGAGACCCAAACAGCATTCTCTTCCTGTTTTCGTAGGGCCCAGGTCTCTGAAGTGTATGTTAATGCAGGAAGAACAGTGGAATCAAAGAGATGTGCTCAGAGCCAGAGGTTCTTTGTCCTCTTAGCTATTTCTTGAACTCCCTTGAAGGCAATCCAAGATGCTCTCTTGCTCCTATGCAACTCAGGTGCCGGGTCATTCATCATGTTAAGTTCTTGACCAAGGTACACATAACTGTTGCATTCTGAGATGTTCATTCCATTGAGAGCAAATGGAATATCAGGAACAAAACCAGTTCTCATGAACATTGTCGTCATGAGATTCAGCTGTAGTCTGACCTTTCCACATTCACAGTTGAAGTCGGCCAGCATTTGTGCCACTTGGCTGATGTTTGGTGTTATTAGAATGATATCATCAGCAAAGCACAGGTGATGTAGTTGTCAACCGTCTATCTTCACTCTCATTCCTTCCCATTCCAGTCATCACCTGACATTCTTGAGGGTGGCACTGAAGACTTTCGGTGAAATGGTATCACCCTGCCGAACCCCTCTCTTGACATCAATATTCAACTCCCTGTAGATGGTGAGATCCTGGTAGTGAATCCGCAATACAGCTCACAGAGGATCCTGATATACTGAGTTTGAATGCCCTGTTTCACTCGGGCCTTGATGACCACTTCCATCTCAACAGAACCAAAGGCCTTCTTTAAATCAATGAACGTTAGACAGAGTGGCATCTTGAACTCCGGAGAAACCTCAATGAGCTTGGCTATCATGTAGATATGGTCGATTGTGCTGAATAGTTTTGGAACCTGGCTTGCTCGCATTGTTGTCCTTCATCTAGTGTTCTTCCAATCCTATTCAAAATGACTCGAGGAACAACTTGTAGACAACAGGCAACAGGCAGATCGGGCAATAGTTGCCAATGTGGTGGATGTCTCCCTTCTTGTACAGTAGTACAGTCCTGCTGGTTTTCCATTGGGATGGAACCTTGCATTTAGACAGGTAGCATGTGAAGAGCCGAGCCAGTTTATTGATGAGTACTGACAGCAGGTTCTTCAAGTGTTCAGGTCTGACTGTGTCTGGCCCAGGTGCTGTTTACTTCTTTACTGACAAAATGGCATGTCAGATTTCAGAAGAGAGAACGTTGTGAACGACATATCCATCCTGTGGAATTTGGTATGCAGGCAGGTGGACGTGGCTATCGAAGAGATCCATGTAGAAGTCATGGATAATCTTCTCCATTGCCCTTCTGGAAGATGTGATAGATTCATTGGGATGTTGGAGGGCAGTCATCTTAGTTTTGTAGTTGGCAAAGAACAGGCGGGCATTGCGAATGCTTTTCCCAGCTTCTGCTGCATCTGCCAGCACTGCTGCTCTTCTCTCTTTGAGGTCTTCCTTTACCCCCTCTCTGCACTGCTTTGCAAATTTGGATGTTCACTTGTGGTTGCCTGAGGCTTGCGCCAAGCCACGTTGGCAAATGAGCTCAAGAGTTTTCGAAGACAGGCTTCTTTTTGTGTCTATCTCTTTCTCTCTCTTCCTCGCACTATCATGGAGGTACTGAACCATTCTATCGTATTCCTTGTCAATATTTTCAATGACGGCATCTTCCCATGATGCCACAATAGTGCCAAAGAGCTCCCAGTTGGTGGTCTTTCTGGGAGTTTTCTTCTTAAACTTTGCAGCCTCTTCTCCCCACTCCGTGAAGTAGAATTAGGCATGAAGGAGACGGTGGTCTGATCTCGTTTGAAATTTTGGAACAACAGTTACATTGGTTAGGCAAAACCATCAATTGAATATTATGTGGTCAATTTTGTTGTGGAACCATCCACTGGGAGACTCCCATGTCCAACGTTTGCATTTGGACTTCTGGAAGTGTGAGTTACCATGGATGGTCTTGGTTGACATGATGAACTCAGATAGTCTCTCACCCTGTCCGTTCCATTCCAGACCATGGGTCCTGATGTGGAATTCTTCGGGCGACTGAATTCTCAGTCCTATCTAGGCATTAAAATCATCGAAAATGATCTTTTAGTAGGTGTGGTCTTCTTTATAGAACTTCTCCAGCTCCATGTAGAACTTCTCAATTTCTCCTTCATTATGACTGGATTTTGGTGCATAGACAACAAAGATAGAAACTGCCGGAAGTGAGCAATATATATTTAAGTTTAATCATATGATTCAGGTTGTTAGGCATTTGAATGAATAAATGCTTATGGCCAAGTTAATGTTGACAAGGAAACCAACACCACCGGTGCCTCTTTTGTCACATGTTCCGAGGAAGAGTTCTTCTCCAGTGTCATAAATGGCATTATTTGATTGATGCCTTCTAATTTCATTCAGACCAATGATGTTGTACTTGATCTTTTACGCTTGTATCATCAGGTCTTCGATGGATGCATCTGATGCCAGTGTATGAGCATTGAAAGTACCGACAGTCATTTTTGTCCTTCTTTATTTTGGCAGCCTAGTTTGGCCTTGAGATTTTATCAGCCTTTCCTTCCTCCTCCTTCTTAGTGCTGCCATATTGGTGGCTCTTTCAGGGTCAGGGGAATGAGACCCATTGTATTTACTGGTTTTGGCATATCACACATGCTACAGATAGCTTGCCAGGTTCTGCCATGCGGGTGGGATATTTTCCGTAGCTTGCAAGGCTCTCCAAGAGGGATTGAGGCTTTTAGGGCGGCCTCTAATTGCTCTTTCAGTTGTTCCCATGATTCAAACCAAATTTGAACCTTATCAAATATGGTGTGATAATCTTAGAAGATGGGTATTAAGTGTCTTATGAGGTGTCTGGAAAGTGGCTTGGAGCATGGCGACAGCTGGGTAATGGAGGTAGTAGAGCTAGTGAAAATCTGCTGATGAGGTATTTATCTGGTACTGGTAGGGTGGGTCTTCTGCGTGTAATCCCTGGGTCGCTGGAGGTTGGTGAAAGCAGACAGGGCAGGGTAGGGTGGGTCTTCTAGTTTTAATCCCTTGGTTGCTGGAGATTGATGGGAGCAAGAGAGGATCTCTGTTCCTGGGTCCATTGAGCCCAGAGTCCAAGGTCACAGAGTTCCATTTACCTTGTTCTGTGGAGCTTCACTCATGCGTGAGTCTCAGCCAGAGAGTCCAGAAAGTATCCTGGAGCGTGGCAGTGGT